CCCGCACACTCTGCAGCCACCCTGCTGCTCCGTGTGCTCCCGCACACTCTGCAGCCACCCTGCTGCTCCGTGTGCTCCCGCACACTCTGCAGCCACTCTGCTGCTCCGTGTGCTCCCGCACACTCTGCAGCCACTCCGCTGCTCCACGTACACTGCTGGCCGACGGTGCCGTGACTCCGACCACGTGGCAATTCGTGCCACCCCTCCGCCAGCACCCCGCGTGGCTTCTTCTATCTTTACTCTCTCTCGACTCTCGATCCCCTTCCAGGTCTCACCCTATATCCTCCTCCTCACGTGACCCTGACTCCTCCTCCTCCTCACGTGACCCTGACTCCGCCCCCACTCACCCCGACGACCAGGCTCTGCCTCCCCTATACTCCGGCCCGCGTGAGTGGTGCGGAGGCAGCGCCCACCCTGTCCTTGCTCGCATTACACCTACGTGACTTTACCGAAAGAACTAAGAGTACGCATCTGTGAACATAAAGCAGACCTGAAACACGGTAGGACAAACACCTCAGCCGTGGCAGATCACTGTTACAATTCAATGGGCCCACATGACATTGACTTCTCCAAGACAGAAGTTCTCTGCAAGCCATCTGGCTACCATGAAAGATTCGTTCATGAGGCGATCCACATATACAAACACAGAGACAATTTCAACCAAGAAGATCGATTCTGGCTCAGCAATCATTGGAAGGACGTTATAATCCATTTCGGATCTTAACTGATTGTGTTCACGTTTACGGTGACTTTCAGACCGCAGTCCACTCACTGGCATTGACTATATATCTTGTATTTTCCGCAGGGAATGGATTCTTTGCTCCGCTGCAAGTCTCCTACCAGCACTCTCCCATTGACATATTTCGTTGCTTCCTCTTAGTATCTTTCATGCGACGGTCAATGGTATAGTGCATAGCAGATTGTATAATAATAAATAGTGTTAAATTGTAATGTTTAATACAATGTATAAGGTAATATATAGTATCGTAATTGTATAGTGAATATACAGCAGTGTGATATACAGTAGGGTGGGTAGAATAATACATAGTGTAATATTACAATGTATAGTCGAAGGTGGTGTATAGTAATACAGTATGTAATTTAATGTTGGGTTTGTCTATGGCAGTATATACTACAGGGTAGACCCGTGTGATGTAGGAGAAAAAAGTTTAGCTGGAAGCATATTATATTTTTTGCGACATACAACTGTAATCTATTACTTACTGTTAGTAGCTCAGCTTATTGGAGAGTATATTTAGTATACTGATGATACTATGTAGTTTATACTTTAGTTTTTTACGTGGTGGTTTAGTTACTGCAGCTACATACTATTGTGGGGGTCGCTGGCCCCCGAGATCCCTCCCTCGATAATGCTAACGGCCAGGCTAACATCATCACTCGCCCCCCCGCTGCTATGCGAACCGCTGCTGGGTTCCTCACCCATGGTGTGGGAGCCGTCGCTCGAGGATTCCCCTCCACCGCGGGTCCGCGTAATAGGCATGGTTAATTACCGAGTAGTATTCTGCCCCTCTCTACTACGATACCTCCCTTTCCTAATCGCGCGCCTGCAACCCACACGGAGCGAACGTACGCACGCCCACACACACACACGCCGCTCCGCGCACTTCAACTCAACTCACGTTATGATCGCGCACCTGTATTGCACACGGAGTGAACGCACGCGCACACACGCAGCTCCACACGCGACACACTGATCAACAAGATCATACGAGACCACGCTTCGTTATTAATGATTTATTGTCTGCTACCTGGAACTAGGTGTTGAGTCAGTATGTATCGGCGAGGCTGGCCTATCCTACTTCCCCTGGACCTATTCCCTATTTATCGGCTTACGATACCCTGTCTCCTTGCTACTCACGGTTCGAAGTATTCGGCGTCCTGTGGCTTTTCCTCTATGCTGTTGGGACACGTCACGCGGACGTCCGGAGGGCAGAGCTGGGAGCCGACTTGAACGCGTGCCTCTTGAAGAGAAGTGAGAGCTCTACCTTGCTATGATCCCTTTTATCCTCTCTCGCGGACTCCCCCGACTCCTCTCCGCTCATGAGCGGCGAATATGCTAATCAATGTGCGGCGTGCGCGGCGTAAATTCTAATTAATCCCTTTCTCAAGGGATTAATTCTAATTAATCCCTTGTTATTGCAGGATATGCGGCGGCGTCCCTTACAAAGGCTCGCCGTGGGAATTTGTGCACGGGCTACCCGTGTGCCTCCGTTCTCCTGATTGTTCCTACTTTCCGCTTAGTGCTTTACCTTCCCTAACAATGGTGCCTGCGCGCTCAAGCGCAACCATCCTAACCATCCGCGACTATGCGCAAGAGCCCCCGCAGTCCTGCTAATCATGCCGTCCCGTCCCTCCCCTGCTTGCCTCGTCGACACGTGGGGGGTGTGTGTGGGGGATGCGCCTCAACCGCGGTGGCCGAATGCCCCTCGCCGCAACCATACCATCTTAAGGCCGGTCGCAGCGCCGCGGTGCAACGTAGCGTCGGGGGAGGTCGTCAAATTCCCTGGTCGCTGGAAACCGTGAAAGTCAATCCCGATAAGGGCTTCTCGGATAAAAACCGGTCGATCAGGTGATCTCCCCTTCCAGCTCTATGGGTGGGGGAAAGTGCGTGCGGGTGTGTTCATGTGAGGTGAGGTTGAGGGGGACGTGGGGTCGGCTCCGTCGCTTGGTGGTGGCGAGGTCGGGGATGGGGCGCCTGTTGAACGGCTTCGTGGCGGCGGCATCACACTATTAACATTCCTTCCCTTTATTAATGCTACCCCTATCCCCTCCCTTTGATGCTGCTAATCCTGCATAATGCACGGGCATAATATGACTTTGAAACCCCCCGCCCACCTCCTACGCATTTCACAAGTAGTGACTAATCCCATATCTGCATTTCCCATAAATATGCTAAATTCCTCTTGATATGCAAATTCTTTTGTCAAGGCGCTCTTCCTCCTCCAACCCAGCTTAAATATACGCTCCAAGCCTGGGGTGTTTCATTCAGACGCTGTCTTCCCGACAGACCTGTTCTTCACCTGAGGATGGCTGCTTGCGTTGTGGCCGAAACATCGTGAGAATTATTTAATTATGTTTGATTTTTTATATTTTATTATTTCCCTTCTACGTGACTTTACTGAAAGAACTAAGAAGACGAACACTATACATAAGGTGGTGATCACCGTTCCTACTCTCACTAACACTCGGGAGCATTACATAGCATGACCAAGGCAAGGGGACGACTGCTTGGTTACGAACGACGATCTGAGACTTGAGGACTTCTTATGGCATCTTCATCCCAGAGTAGAACAGCCCCGCTCCCCGTTCACACCCCGTTTATAACCGCTCCGGCGTGGCCGGCTCCGCCCCAGGCCACGCCCCCCTTCTCGATCCTTCAGGAAGGTCTGAGCCCCCAACCACGTGACCCCCAAGCTTCCCCCTGGGGCCCTTGGCCCCCCTTTATCTGGTCACGTGTTCTGTTGGGTTCACGCGGAGTGCCACGGCCTGACCCGACCCCCGTGACACCTGCCTACAGCCCCCATACCGAGCCGACACGGTTGTGACGTCTTATGTCCCTACGCTCGTACAGTCCCGAGATAGTTGTGACGTCATATGTCACTACATCTTAACTTCAAAGGCCCGGGGTGCCATTGTACCGCGCGGCAAATTGGGCGCTTACCTGCCTTTACCGCCCCCCCACCCCTGTTACCGTGTCCTCCCTCGAGTGCTGCGCGGTGGCGGCTGCGGGCGGCAGCGGCCACCCATTGTCCCTTTGTCTGGAAGGGCGCTTGTACCTTTCTTGCTCAATGTTCCGCCCTCCGTTCTCCCCCCAATGTTGTGAGTAACTCATTGCGGTTGGCCCAGGGAACCTTTTCTTTCTGCGCCCATACAATTATAAACCGATTTTAGGCGCATCGCAATGTAACCTGTCCTGCGAGGGTCGGCCAATCTCCTGGCACCGGAAAACCATGGGACTTTCCCTCTAGGGGCCCTTCTGATTAAAATCCGATGTGCTAGGCAATCCCCCGCCAGGACACTACGTGGGTACAAGTGCTACGTGTCTGCGGAGTTGCTCCGTGGTCATGGCACCACACTTTCACCAACCACTCCAAAATGATGGGGGTGTTTTGGCCATTCCCATTACAGTATTGAGTATGTTCGGCTTCGTGTGGGGGCGGTATTGGGTCAGCCGATGTGGCAGTTTCACTCCTCCCTGCGTGATCCACCAACCCCTGCCCCAACGGCGCCTTGCACAAGTGGGCTCATCACATATGGCATCTATTTTTTCGTTATAGATATTTTTTCAATGTTCATCGCTTACATTGTATTCCCCACAACATTAGTCGTACGTAACGTGTCGTTGCTGCTGTTGTTGTTTTCAAACAACGTCGTTGATATTGCCCATTGTTGCTGTAATCCTAACCGCCGCGCGGCCCGAGGCGTCACGTGACGCGAGTTTCCCGCGCTCGGCGCGCACCCCGCCCCGCGCGCCCCGCCGCGCCCCGACGTCACCTTCGGCAATCTCCGGAAGGCGCGGGAAGAGCAATCGAGCGCCGAGCGGGTCGAGCGCTCGCTCGGGATCGACCCCCCGCAAACAGGGCCGCGCTCGGGCCCCCCGTCCTCGCCTGACGCGGATCGCCCTGGAGGGCGCGGCTCTGCGCGGCCGGGTGCGGCGCGGGCGGGGCGCTCCGGGGGGCGGGCGAGCGTCGCTCGACGTGCGATTGGTCGAGCCGCGGCCGGGCCGGCCCTGGCGGTGGAGGCGCAATGGCGGGCGGCGGCGCTCGGCTTGGAGGAGGGAAGCGGCGGCGCAGGGAGGGCAGGAGGGACGCGCGCGCGGGAGGCGCCAACGCGTCCGGCCCGCGCCATAGCAATAGCAGCCGCAGCCGCAGCAGCAGCAGCCGGCGGCGCCGCGCCTTGCTCCTGCCGCCGAGCGGCACACAGCCGCGCGCGCAGCCGCTCAAGCCGCGTGATCCCCGTGCTAACGCAGGCAGCGCCGCGGCGTTCGCCGGGCGTAGAGGAGCGAGGAGGATTGCGAGGAGGAGAGGCGACGAGGAGAGGCGACGAGGAGAGGCGACGAGGAGAGGCGACGAGGAGAGAACGGGCCGACGCGCAGGAGGCGGAGGGCGGCGAGGTGAGCGGGCCACGCGGCTCTGCGGACGGGCAGGCGACGTGGCCTCACGTCTCGCGGGCTGCGGGAGGGCTCTGGGCTCCTCCAGGGTCGCCCGGCGCGGGGTCTGGCCTGGTAGGGTCGGGTCCGCCTGGGCCACGCTGGTCGTGTCGCGCCTGGCCGGGCCGCGCTGGGTCTCTGCGCTTCTACCCCCGGGTCTAGACCGGGTCGGGTCCCGTGAGGTGCGTTTGTTGAACTCTCAGTTGACCGGCTCTGGGTCGGTTCAGGACTGAGCTGGAGGTCTCGATGCTGGAGGATCTCCGGACCCTTGGCCGGGTGGTGCTCAAACATTAAACCATCAGTGTTGATTTTACGATGACGTGCTGAGAATTGCACTCGTTATTGTTAATGTGTACATAGTTTCAGCAGAATTGAAGGGTCCGAGGCTTGTTAAAAAACTACATTCAACCGTTGGACGTTTAATGTAGGATTTCTGCTGGGTAAACTGGCCGGGTTGAGGAGGGAATTGGTTTGGGTTACAGGCGCGGCTTTGCGGATACTGGTGGTTCGAACCCCATCCATACGGGCTCATTAACTCGCCTTGGGCTGCGTCAGACCCAATATAAATTTTCTTTTGTGAGCGAATCTCACGTGTACACTCGATATGTACAGCCAGACTAGCGACTGAAATACCCGACTTGGGATATGTTGTGCTCGGTCGGAGTTAATTTGGGCGATGTATACTGGTGCCGAGCCACTGTCGATATCGCCATATAATGTGATCTGTTTAAATGAGCGAATAAGAGGCGAGCGAGGCGAGCCCCGCCGGGGACACGTGCTGATGTACAGTGCGCACTGTGCCGCCATGGCCGCGCTGCGCTAGAGGTCACCACGGCGAGGAGGAGGAGGACGCCGTGGCCCTGCCGGGAGATGTTGAACCGGGCACGAGATGGGCCTAGCCATGAGGCCGTGTGCCGCGCCATCCACACCCCGGCGCCCGAGTCATTGCCAAGCACACGCACACACGTGTACACACGAGCCGCCATCCGACACTGTCAGTGGCAGTAAAGAGACCCGACATCGCTTGTTTCCAAGCTAGGTGCTCTTTCAAGCCGTGTGATTTGTGGAAAGACCCGGGTGTTCACCATAGGTTAACTGGGACAACCTGCCTGGTAGATGTTACCACCTGCACTCCCCGAAGTGTCAACTGGCTGTGTTGTATCTGCCTCACGTTCTACTCGATATTAGTGTCCCTGCTCTGAGGATGGCTACGGTCAACAAGTGCCCAGGAAGTAGCGTATTTCACGAGCACCCTCCACAGAGGCCGATCTTGACACCACTGGCGTCAGTAATCGGCAAGTCGACTCGGCCCCAGGATCGTCCTGTGCACCTCGTACACACACCTCTTGCCATTGCAGCGCCGGTTTAACCCCCTCTATCCGATCAAACAGGCAATGCTTGGGATTTCGGGCTCCATGGCCAGTGCATACTGACCTGCCAAATAATCCCATTCGCAGGACTGTGTCCAGATATCTCAACCTTGTTAGCTCCCAGCGCAATCCAACCATTGAGGATATATAGTAGGCAGTTCAACCTGTTAATGTGAAGTTGGTGCAAGTGTTCCTACGAGGGGATCCACATGACACGAGCGAAGATATAACAAGCGGCTGGTGAGCTTGGCTAAGAAGACTTGGAGCTGAGTGTGGAGCGTGAGGCCAGGTAGCTTTCACACAGCATTATGAAGCCGATGAAACATTGCATATCAACTTAGTTGGACCACTACCCGTGCTGTCCAGAAAAATAGAGCCACCTGTGAACACACTGCCCAGATATAGGAACTTCCCCAAACTAAACCACCCCAATGCTCGTATAAGGTTCTCAATGACGATGCCTGTGTAGGCATGTTCAATTGACGGGACCCGAACTCAAAATAAGGAGCAAGCACCAAGTCAGCAGAATACGTAGAGAGGTTAGCCAGCAGGGAGCGACCCATTGATCAGCCTCCCTTATATGTATATTTATTAGATTAAATGTACACTGGTATAGTTAAGGATCACATAGTGTAGGAGCACCAGGACAATCCCGTGATACCTCTTGGTCCACAAATAATGTCTCTGTTGCCTGTGTAAATTCCGTACACCTCTGTTGAACCAACAGAGAATATGGCATATATGCAGGACTGCCAGATTCCTCCAGTCTAAAGAAAGATTTGTATTCTGCCCCTGTCATGCTTGCCCTTAATGATGGTAATATGATGGTTCTAAAATTGACATGTTGATGCAATGAAATATCGTATTGTGATAATAGGCATCTCGCAACCACCAATCGTCATTGCAGCATTGAATGACTCTAGACCTGTGAGCGCATTTCTCTCCACATTATAGAATATGGGAATAGTAGTTGGTGTGAATTGATCCTCCGCTTTCTCGAGCTGAAACATTATTAGCTCGGGTTCCTGCTGAGTTCTGGGCCTGGTACCCATCGCTGCCATAGCGATAGCAAGAGCTACAGTCATAAACCTCTCCCAGCATTGCGGATAGTGAGGGGAACATGATAAAATTATTGCTTACAGCTTTTGACATCTAGTTAAGACAGTGTGAGTACAACAGACGCATATCGCATTTGACCAGCGAATGGTTGGTGAACACATCTAGCGAAGACACTGTGAGTACAACAGATGCATATCGCATTTGACCAGCGAATGGTTGGTGAACAAACCAGCTACATGGCAAGTTGTCAAAAGTTAATGTTTGGTCGGGTCTGTACCTATGATGCCATGTGAATGCAACGGTGAAGGAATAGATTGTTTGTCTTTGCAAACCCATTGACTGTAAAGACTGAAATTTCAAGATTTTTTAACTCTGTTAATGGGCATTAATGAGGTTTGGATTGAGTCTCTCACTCTTCTATAGCTTGTGATTACAATGCACATCTGCATTTTATTTCATACCAATGCATCTCATCATTGCCCATGTCGTCTGAATATATAAATACACACCTTATCTCACTGATTTCTATATCAATAATACATTTTCTCACTTTTCTTTTTTTAGTAATTCGATACCTGAAATGTGTCCATATTAAAACTTCTCTTCGCTGAATTTATATTTTCTCGTCTCATGGCATTATTGAATTGTATCTGTATTTTTCTTCTCATGTCCCTACATATGTCCTCATAACCAATCTTAGTAGTGTATTCCACATATAAACTTAGCTTTGTGGCAGGATTACTTCTGCCACGATTGTGAATGCTATAAGTAAGCTCCTCGATCTTCGTAGTTTATGCATGGTTTATCCTAATTTGAAGCTTTCGTGACTGCAGGAATCCATACTCTTTGGTTCTTTCGATACAGTCACATAGGTATAAAATGAAATAAATCACGACGTTTCGGGCGCAACACAAGCGTCCGTCATCAGGTGGGAAAGCATGGTCTGCTGCTGAGGCAGACTGTTTTAAAAGGTTTGAAATAGGTGTAGCCCAAGGGTCATAAAGAAGTGGCCGGGGCTAGTGATGTCATTGTGAGAAATTAGAATGTAACTGTAAGATAGGAAAGCGGCCTCCTCTACGAGGGCACGGAAGTGGCTATGTTAATGTGAGAGATTAGCATGATGTTAATATGAGAAATTTGCATGTAACTGTAGAAAAGGAGGAAAGTGGCCTCCTCGACGGGGGAGTGCAACCCAACGGGTGCAATCCAAAGGGCATGTGAGTATGAGAGTGCAATGCAAAGGACATGTGAGCATGAGAGATCTAAGAGAGGCATAGAGAGAGAGAGACATTCGGAAATAACAGCTGACATAGGCAGGTAGGATTGAAACATCAGTCAGTTAAGACTTTACCTGGTTAATAACGTCCTTCCAATGATTGCTCAGTTTGTACCCATCTTCTCGGTTGAAGTTGTGTCTGTGTTTATATATATGGATGGCTTCATGACTTTACCGAAAGAACCAAAGAGTAGAAATTTCTGAAGGTAGCCGGTAGGTTTGCAGAGTACCTCCATCTTGGAAAAATCTATTTCGTGTGAGCCCACAGCGTTAAAACAATGATCAGGAACGGCAGAGGTATTGGTCCTACCGTGTTTCAGATGTGCCTTGTGTTCATGAACGCGGTCTCAGGTGGTGGTGTTGGTCGGAGATGCAACGGGCCCTATGGTGTAGTGTTTTTATGAGGGAATTCTTCTGGGCTGGATGGTGGTGGTGGGAGTCAGGCGTTAGATAGGCATCTGTGTGGGTGGCTTTCCTGTAGACCGAATGTCCCAACGAGCCATCAGGTCTCTTCTCAATCAAAACATCCAGGAATGGTAGCTTGCCATCCTTTTCCACTTCCATGGTGAATTTGATAGACGGCTGTATGGAATTGATGTGGTTGAGAAATTGGTTCAGTGCTGGCAGGCCATGTGGCCAGATGACGAACGTGTCATCTATGTATCTCTTCCACAAAGAAGGACGTAGGGTAGATGTCTGGATGGCATCTGTCTCAAATTTCTCCATGAAAACATTCGCTATCACTGGTGATAATGGAGAACCCATTGGGGTACCCTCATTATGTTTGTAGAATGTGTCTCTCTCCCTCTATGCCTTGCTATCCTCAGCAGCAGACCATGCTTTCCCACCTGATGACGGACGCTTGTGTTGCGCCTGAAACATCGTGATTTATTTTATTTCATACCTACGTGACTTTACCGAAAGAACCAAAGATTATGGTTTATCCTCATCTTCAAAATACATTTGATTCATGGCAACTAGTGTTTAATATATCAAAGGATTGTGTCCTGTTTATCTGTTTGTGAGTAAATTCTTCCATCTTTCATCCTGTAATATATAAATGAATGCTTAATTTGCCATGGTTAAAATTGTAATTGGTACCTTGAATAAGTTTTCTTGAAGACCAGGAAGCAGGATTGCTTCTGCCACAATCACAAATGCTGGAACTGTTATGCCATCATGTCCTGAGGCTGTGCATACGTTTTAGTTACATCTTTTTATTTGTTTTAAGCACTATTCATCGTTTAACGTGTTTCCAC